AGTGAGTTAACAGAGATGATATTTGTCCTATCGGTAATCGCTTGCTCTACTTGGTGGCTATTTATAGCCACTTTTCGACTCATGGTCTTTTCACAAGTTCGATATGATTACCTTCAATTTTTTTTTTAGAGATTTGCTCTTCTTTTTGCATAAGTAACTAAATAACAAGAGACACCGCACAAAATCACTATAAATGTTATAATAATATGAACAATAATAAATCTCAATAATTAGGCAACAATAACTCAGATATTAAGATTATTTTAGTGGCCGTCCTCACCAATGATCGCAGTGAAAGAAAAAAAATAGAGCTTTTAGATTTTAGATCATGAATCCGATGAGAATTTATTTTATAATATTGAAAAACACTGTACTTGAGAACATTTCTTTTGTTTTTTTGACATTTAGAACATTTCTAGTTATGTTTCTTCCTCTTCGTTTTTTTTTTTTTTTTTTTTTTTTTTTTTTGTTTTTTTTTTTTTTTTTTTTTTTGTTTGAGAGTCCATTACTAGTTATGTATTACTATTGCTTATAATAATTAATTTGAGATCTTTTGGCACAAAGTTATTTGAAAAAAGAAAAAAAATGAAACTGCATGATGTTATGTTAGCGTAGGAGTGATAGCAAAGTGGCTGAAATGATTGGACGGTCCACTAAGACCAATACGGATAAAGTGACCTTATCATGACATATGCTGGTTCAAGTAACGGAACCTATGGTCAAACCCATCGGCTAGACCAACAAAAGTCAAATCCAAACAGCTAAAACTGTATAAATAATTAAATATTAACCAGTCATGTACATCACGTTGTGTGGTTATTAATTTTAGGGTAAATTATTATTTAGTCCCTCAGGTTTTACATAATTAACCAACTAATTACAGGTTTTGAGAAAATATCTAGCTAGTCCCTCAGGTTTAACTCCGTCTAATTACTTAATTAAAAGGTCCTTCCGTCCGAAAGTTTGATTTTTTCCGTTAATTATAGAGTAAAAAGACTAAAATACCCCTCCCCAGCTGACCGTGGACGCCATTTTAGGAAAATTATTTCATCTTAGTCCCTCAGGTTTTTTACATAATTATCTAAACTAATCCCTAAGTTTTGCGCAAATATCTAACTAGTCCCTCAGGTTTAACTCCGTCTAAATTGAAAGGTCAATTCCGTCCCGAAAGTTAGTTTTTTTTCCGTATTTGAAGACTAAAAACGACTAAAAACACATCTCCCTAACTGACGTGGACCAGTATTGAGCGATAAAGGGAAGGGGATTGTATAAACTAAAAGACTAAAATAATTTACCCTTTTTCTTTTTTACCCCAAAATTATCAATCAATAGTTTTCCTTTTTTAGAAAAAAGTAAAAACAATAATTTTCTATTTTAATTCATATTTAAATATGCAAATTTTATCAAAGAACATTACTATTATCAATTAAATAAAATCTAAAAAAAAAAAAAAACAAAAGTATTCCATCTTATTCATTAAATACTTTTAATGTTTTTAATGGTAATCCAAGTAATTAAAATTTATTCTTATAAATTATAAAAAATATTTAATTAATTTTATTACGTCCTTAAGATTAAGAGTAATATTGTCAAAATTTATTCAATAATTTATTATAATTTATACAAATTTAATAATTTTTTTAAAAGACATGAAATTCTAAATGTGGGGAATATTATAGAATGAAGATAGTAATATTTTAGAGACATAATTATATTTAATGGTTTTCAATTTGCAAATATTCATAATCTAAAACTAAACCGTACATTTAAGAGAGAAAAATTATTATATCTCCATCGACTTTATATGAAGCTCTTCAATTTTCATTTTTAAATTTAGCGAAGCTAATTTTCCTACTCGTGTAATTAAGCTTAGTCTATACAATTCTACATGTGCATAAAATTATAGGGAGAAAAATTATTATTTAGTCTTTTAGTTTAACAAATTATCCTCCCTTATCCGCTTCATACTGGTCCACGTCAGCTAGAAGAGAGGTGTTTTAAGTCTTTTTAGTCCTTCAATAACGGAAAAAAACTAACTTTTCCGGACGGAAGGACCTTTCAATTAGACGGAGTTAAACTTGAGAGACTAGTTAGATATTTTGGCAAAACTTGGGATTAGTTAGATAAATTATGTAAAACCTGAGGGAACTAGATAATAATTTCCCTTTAAATGGTCCACGTCAGCTGGGGAGGGGTATTTTAGTCTTTTTACTCTATATTAACCTGGAAAAAAAATCAACTTTTCGGACGGAAGTCAGCTGGGGAGGGGTATTTTAGTCTTTTACTCTATAATTAACGGAAAAAAATCAACTTTTCGGACGGAAGGACCTTTTAATTAGACGGAATTAAAACTGAGGGACTAGCTAGATATTTTCTCAAAATCTGTGATTAGTTGGTTAATTATGTAAAACCTGAGGGACTAAATAATAATTTACCCTTAATTTTATTATTAATTTCTCTTTGAACAACAGTATAGTGGATTAATTCAGTTTCGGATTCTACGGAGCTTTGTGATGGGACGACCCTTTCAATCTAATTTTATCTCTCTGTCCGCAATGATAGGATTAGAAACCTGAATGTTGTTTAAATGATTTATTGCCTCGTCCCACTAGATTAACTAATAGCTAATAATTTTATTATTAATTATAGAAAAATTAAAAAAAAATTATTACTTTAAAAGAATACTAATAGTATTATTAATTCTCTTAATTATTGAAAATTTTAATAATATGTCACTAATATCGTTAATGATATTAAAAAAGTCAGATTACAAAATAATTAAAAAAATATTAAAAAATAACATAATGCTGCCTCAGCAAAAATGTTGATATAGGTGTGGAAATTGAAAATGAAATAACCACATCAACAACTTCAGGAAAATCAAAGAGTAAAACTGTTCCTTTGCTTGAAATGCAAAAGGAATTTCTTCTAGACAATAGTTTTTTACGGATGAATTTTTTGGGCATGCAACTGGTTGTTGGATTGTTTCAATTTTTAGGTTTCTAGCTTTTACGTTGCTAGACTTTTTTTTACTATAGGATTAGAATTGAAGTTAGAGATAATTTGTAAGCATGAGTATGTTTATTAAAAAAAGAAAAGAAAAAAAGAAAGTAAATCTTGTGAATTTAGCATTTTGTATTTTTTAAAATTCTAGTACTTTCAAACACTGGTATTTCTAATCTTATTCCTTAATATGTTTGTTCTACTTTTAATTACCAAATGTTGAATGTTAATCTCTGTAGATGTTAGCAGTGGTTTATCAGTTAAAATAGATTAATTGCTACAATGCAGATTATTAATAAACTTTTAACGTTATCTCTATTAATTAATATCTCTTTATCAATTATTGAGATCTAGATTGATATTTTTTTTAAGCATATAATTTGTCACTTAATACAATGTACTATTGTGATTTTGCAAAGAATATGCCTAGGCTTCTCATATATGTTAACCCAGTTCTGAAAATAATGTGTTGCTACTTTGATGTAGTTGATTTACTTAGTTGCTTGCTTTTTTGGTTGAGTAAAGTTTATATCAGAGCACCTTCAAAGGGACAGGTTTATATCAGAGCACCTTCAAAGGGACAGTCATTTTCTATTAGAGAGGTTAAAGCTTCAGAAACTACTTAATTGCTTGCTTGCTTTGTTGAGGGCTGAGAATGCATAAATGAGATTTGCAAATGGAAATAAAAGAAATTGTTATGAAGGCACTTAAGAAGAAAGAGAGATTTGATGATTGTAAATCTATTATCTACACATGTTTAGTGATGCTTGTACCGTCATGAACGTACAATTTGAGTTATAGGATTGTGAAACTTTGTATTTGCCTTGATTTAGTTCAATAGCCGTAGTTTGAGTTGGAGCTATCATCCTAGTTGTTATGGAAAGCATTTTCAATTAATAAATTGGCTTTTTCTGTTATTGATAAACCTGATTCAGCTTTATGATCAGCCTGTATTTTTTTTTTTTTTTTTAATAATAATCAAATTAAGATATGACATTTATTGTTGAATTTTTGCCAATGACATTTATTGTTGAATTTTGCATTAAAGCATTTTACTTTGTACTCAGATCTTGAATCATCTAAATTCATCTTCGAATTAGCTTCTTTTCTGCATTTTTTTAAATGAAGCTGACATGTTACATTCAGATCGAATGTCAAACACCAAAATATTGATAATATATATCTACAACGTATATATTGAAAAGTAATATGTTTTGTCCTTTTAATATGCCCTATGTACATCCAAATGAGCAAAATTCTATATCAGTTGTTGTATGAACTATATATCCTATCTTTCACTAAACAGTCGGCTATAAGAGTGATTGTTGTTTCCCCTGAAACAAAAGGCCGCAATATAACTTGTTTGTCCAAAATTCTTTCCAGAATTTCTATCTAAAATTCCATAATTCATCTTAACTGATACCCTGAAACAAAAAGTCCTAAAATTTTTAAAAAGTGTTGCCGGCTCAAAAAGTAATTACTATGATGATTAGTCTTGGCTTCCAAAAGGAGGCGGGCTGAGTTGATTTACAAATTCCACAAAATAAACGAATGAATTCCACAAAATTTTGTGGAATTGATTTACAAATTCAAATTTTTATATTTGGTATGAAAAGAAAAATGAAGAATTCAATTGTAAAGATTTAAATATAACTAAACCAAATTCTAATAAATAAAAAAAAAGTCACCAACAGACGCTTTATACCCAATCACTCCGAAAGGAGTTGATATATTGTTGGTACAGAGAAAGCAATAAGGTTTGTTTTTTCTTCAGCAAAAATCCTCTAAAAGAAATTATCTAAGTTGAAATTTTCAAATGAATTCCATAAACTTAAGTTGAACGGAGCATAAATGTTAAAATATTAAAATTAAGAAATCACTGGCAGCAACCATTGAACTGCAAGAAAGAAATAAATAACAAAATAAAAACACACCAAAGAAATTATTGTGAGGGTGTTTAGTTTGAATGGAATAATAAAGAAATTATTGTGAGGGTGTTTAGTTTGAATGGAATAATAAATATAACTTAAAACTATTCTAATCACTACAATATGCATAATATTTATAACTTTCCTTAAAATTACGTATGTATAAATGTTAAAAAAATAACTTGGAGGTGCCTTAAAAACTTGCAACGCCCACGTTCTACCTTTTCATTTTCTTTTTCTTTTTTGTTGGACATGTTGATCTGTTCGACTCCTTCAGGGCCTAATTCCCGTTGAGCTTCTCGGCAAGCCAAAAACTTACGTTTTAGTTCAGACATACATACATATTTAAGAGGCAAGAGTGTCTGTGTCTTCCTCATCATCTACATCAAAACATGCAAAGGATCGACCATATCTTGCATGAAAAGCACTAATTTTGGAAAATTTTTCTTCTGTTTGTAGACATCGACAAAATACCTCCTCTTCAGAATATAGTAGTCGTACACCACAATTCATCACTTTGCAACGGTGTAAAGGATTGCCATCCATATCTTCAGGGTAGAATTCAACTACTAACTCTCTATATTTACTGAAATGATCATCTTTTGTAGCGTCCACACATGGATCATACCCGAAGAACATACGATAGTTTGTCCCAAACGGATTGGGATGACAAGTTACGAGAGTTCTTTTACCGTACCAACCACCAAAATAAGAATGGAGATCACTGCACTCTCTGTACTCATTTTTGAAGTGATATTGACACCTAATCTGGAAACCATTGTTGCCCCGAAAATAAATGCCGTCGAATTTAATAATAACACACAAAGTGAAACCCAGGAACTTGATGTTAGCCCACTGTGAAGGTAGCTTCATTGTCGTAGAAAATCCTTCACTTTGATGGCCAAACCACCTTGGGATTGCACGTCCATTAATGCAAAAACTAGATTCTCCTGCTAGTATAGAAGGAATCTGCAACATGAGAATCATGACCATTAACATTGGCTCCTGCTAGTATAGAAGGAATCTGCAACATGAGAATCATGACCATTAACATTGGAATTATCGGTTAAAAAGAATCAGAAGATGAAAGGGGAAAGAGACCTGGTTGTTCAGTCTTTTTGCATAGCGCATAAATTTTGTGAGGGCATATTCCATTATATTGTGCCTTGCACCAGAGCCCAACATGTCACAGTTAGTGAAAAAGAATTCAAAAATATTTCCTTTTACTCCAGTTGAATCAAATGATACTTCAATCAGTGAAATGCAATTGTGTGCATCTAATGTTGCCAGTTGCGGTGGAAGATCTGGTAATGATACTAAGTCCTGGCAATTTCTTAAACCAAGGTATTGCAGCTCAATGAGCTTATTGATACTTTCAGGTATCTTCCTAAAATTGTTTCCACTTAGATCTAATGCTTCAAGTGAGAATAAGCAACCAATGCCATAAGGCACGTTCAAAAAACTGCAGTTCGTTAGATATAACTTCCGTAAATTTTGAATATCTACTCCTCTGTCAGGCATGTTGAGAAAATATTCAATACCTGAGATCATCTCTGGCAATATGGAAAGATTTTCGCAGTTTCTCACTTCCAAGCTCGATAGCCCCTTTAGATTTTCAATAGGTGAGGGTAGCTTTGTAATGGCGGTTCCATCTAAATAAAGATACCTCAATGATCCCATAACCTCTGAAACTTCTGGAAAACACTGAAACATGGAACAACCTGACAGATTAAGCTTTTGCAAAGATTTCAACTTGCAAATACTGCTAGGAAGAATTTGAAAACTTGTGCACTGTTGCATGCTCAATTCCTCAAGTTCACATAAATACTGAACTGATGAGGGAATTTCTTCTATTGCTGTCTTGTCTAAAATTAATTTCTTTATAGTCCTTGAAACATCTGGAAACTGGGTGATGTTTGAGCATCCAGAGAGAATAAGATTTTCAAGAGATGCCAAATTAGAAATTTTACAAGGAATCTTCTTAAGCCTTTTGCAATTAGAAATTTTACCAAGGAAATCTTCCTTAAGCCTTTTTGCAGTTCTTTAAATCCAAAACAAAGAGTTTGGGTGAGAACGGGCCAAATTGAAAAGGCGGAAGTTTCTTCTATTGCAGTTTCACTAAAGTAAAGTATTCTTATATCCATGACATATCGGAAGCTAAGTGGATAGTTTTTGAGCAGCCAGAGAGATCATAATCAAAAGAGATTTTAACCTTCGTATACTTTCTGGAAGATTCCTAAAGATGTTTAACAGTCCTTGAGATTCAATTAATGAGTCCAACGAATTTCCCAATTGAGTCCACTGAGATTCCCAATTGATTTGGGAAGTTCTTCTATGGCAGTCTCATTCAAATTTAAATACTTTATGTTCTCTGCAAACTCTGGACATTCCCTAAAATTGGAGCAACCAGAAAGGTTGATAGTCTTCAGAGATCTCATGTTAGTGCCAATCGGGAGATGCATAAGGCTTCTGCAGCATTTCATATTCAAATCAACAAGATTGTCTAAAAACTGAATGGATGACGACACTTCTAAAAAGTGAGGACAGTTTTCAAAATTAATTCTTTCAAGATTCTTGGCCTGTGACAGGTCTGGGAAAGTAGTCAAGTGCTCAGAGTAGCTAAGATTAATGTCTTTCAAGCTCACAAGATTCTGCAGAATTAATACAAGAAATTAATGTTTACTCAACCCACAACGTTTTTTTTTTAAAAAGGGGGTAGTAAAATGAAGCATGAAGATAGATCTTATAGCAAACCTGCACTCCTGTCCATAGTTGTTTAACGTTGCTGTATGCTAGGTTCAGTTCAACAAGTTTCTCTGCTTGAAAATTAGATGGCATAGACCTTAATGGGTATCCATCCCAGTGGAGATACCTCAACTCATCAGAAAGAAACTCAAGGCCATGATAAAAAGAAGGAAAAAAAATACCTAACTCATCCAGAAAGAAACTCCAAAGGCCATGATGAAGGTTGCAATTTTTTTCTGTTATTTCCAAATTCCTAAGCATTGTAAATTTTAAGCAGTATAAGAAATTATTCCATGTTCGCAAAAAAGCTCTGGAACATAAGTTCAATTCTTCCTTTGTTGATGCATCCAAAAATATCCCTTCCCCAACCTTTTCAGTTCCCTAGATACTTCACATCAACGAATAAAGTAGTGCATAAGTTATGTAAATATAATAAAGTTTTTCCAAAAACTTAACTTCGGTGTGTGTGTGTGTGTGTGTGTGTGACGGACACGTACACACCCCAAAGGATATATACACATCATGCATATGGCTCTCACCAGATTTTTGGTCAACACTTGAAGGATATCAATAGGATTCCACAGTCTACAGCGCTTGCCCAGCTTGGCAACAGATTCCTGCCGAACAATTTCATGAGCCATTTCAAGCAACAAGTCATGTATCCCTAGTTTGTTTTCAAGGACAGTAATGAGGCATCTATCAACTAGAACACTGATTCCAATATCAGCTGAGAAACCACAACCATCAAGGATTCTCTTAACGAAATCAATTTTAACGAAATCAATTTGGTGCCCCTTAAAAAGCAAGCAATATCAAGAAATAGAAATACACTTTTCTCTTCATCATCTAGCGTATCAAAGCTTATTCTTAATACATTACAGATTTGAGAATGTGGACCTCTTCCAAGTTTATTCAGTGCACTTTCCCAATCTCGTTTCCTTCTGTCAAATAGATATGAACCCAAAACTTTAAGCACCAATGGGTTTCCCTGAGCATAATTCACCACCTTATTTGATAAGTCTATCCTATCTTTCAGGGGACAGTTTTTCTTAAAAGCATACAAACTGAACAATTGAAGAGCTTCATCCTCATTTAATCCCTCAACTTCATATACATCATCAACTACATTCTTAAGAACCTGCCTATCTCTAGATGTCACAATAACTCTGCTGCCTATCTCTAGATGTCACAATAACTCTACTTCCCAAACCAAGATTCGATCTTCTAATTAGGGCGTCTAATTGATCTACATCATCCACATCATCAAGAAGAAGAAAAACCTTTGTGCATTGGAGCCTGTCCTCATTGGAAATGGACCCCATGTTGGGACTTAGAGTATGTAGATTTTCTTCCTCTAATGTTTCAAATAATAGTTTTTGTTTTAAAAAATCTAGCCCACATCTTTTTGACTCTTCCTTAATATTTTTGAGAAAGCAGCAACCTTCATATTCACTTGAAGCGCTATAGAAAATTGCTTCAGCAATAGTCGTCTTACCTATCCCACCCATACCCCAAATTCCAACAATCGGAACATCTGGTGACCCAAAGCACAACAACTTTCTAATTTGTTCAATGTGAGAGTCTATCCCAACCAGGCCTTTTGAATCTCTAAAGGATGCATGATTCAACTTCCTCAAAATATGTTTCATAATATCATTCACAAGCTTGGCCTCAGGTCTCTCACAAGCTTGGCCCTCAGGTCTACAAATATGAAAGAACAAGTAGTAGTGACCATGTGAGAAGGAAACAAAAGGAATGTGAATAAGAAGTTTGTCAAGTCATCAATTTTCTTTTTGATTACTGTCTGCAAACAATGGTAAGGAAGCCCGTAAAGGAAGTTAGATTTAACACAAAATGATCTAAATTTTTTCTTCCAATAGTTAGCATTTTATATGCTAAAGCATATAAAAATTTTTTAACATACTAATAAGTTTCCAAACTAGAACTGCTAAGCATATAAAATTTTTACATACTAATAAAGTTTCCACTAGACAAGCTAACCAGAGGAAAGAAGGCCTGCTAAGGAGTGAGAGGATTAGAGTGTAGAGCTATCATCTTGCAGCCTACAAATCTCAACATGTTATTAGATAACTTGTGAAATTGGTGTGCGCTTCTTAGTTGATATTCAACTAAGAGGATGTGCATCCAGAATTTGTACAAAATCTAGAGAGCGCTACAAAATAAGTTGTTTTATTGCATTTTCAAACAAGACGAGAAAATTCACAAAGGAGAAAAAGCACAACTCTTTGTCTCAATCTTCCAACTCAAATACGTGATTTATACTGTTTTTATATATTTCAAAGATTAGAAAATATAAGCAGATTATCAATTTACACTTACCTAATCACCTGAGAATCCCATCCAGATATACTAGCCGCTTTCATCAAGTCGACCCTCCACCTTAGCACTTTTTCCATTTTCTCCTTAAAGTTCTTCTCAGCATCGATAAATACATCTACAAAACTCCCACTTTGTTCTTGTAAAAGAGATGGATCTATATGATAGAAAACTGGCAAAACTATCTGTCCATAAGTATCGTTGCATTCAATAATTTTGGACATTTCATCCAAGCACCATGGAGAAGATGCATAGTTTTTGGAGAAAATGATTACAGAAATCTTCGATTCTTCAATCGTTCTCAAAAGGGCTGGAGTTATTTCTTCCCCTCTTTGAAGGTCATTGTCTATGAAGGTCTTGACCTTTTTACGACACATTGTCTATGAAGGTCTTGACTTTTTTACGACACAAAGCATCATAGAGATGACTAGTAAAATTATCACGAGTATCCTCACCTCTGAAGCTAAGAAACACATCATACTTCCGTTTACGACCAGTGGAAGAAGATGCCATAATGGATAGTTAAAATATCTTATGCGACACTGTTTTCCTGGAAAATGAAAATCGAGAAATAACCATTACTGACAAGTGTTGTGCCACAGAAATAATTATCGAATCCAATAAAAGGACTCTACAACTTCAAGACCATCGAACATTAAAAACTTTAAAAATCTTCTAATGGGATCACAAAAAAATAAATAAATAGAAGAAATACTGTAACAATTATGACAATGCCTTTTTACCTAAATCTTTAGCGGCTAATAATTAAACTATTAAAAAAAAAAAAAAAAAAAAAAACAAAGCTTATATTTCTTATATCACCAGAAAGGAGAACGACGCTCAAACAGGATTGATTATCAGACTCAACTTAGGTTGGAAGAGGACTCGATAAATATAAGCAATCAGAGAGAAAAAAAAACCTAATTTACATATTCATCAGAAAGACAGAAAGCAAGTTGAAATGAATACCACAAGGAATAGAGTTTTGACTTACACTGGAAATAAATACAGAGTTTTCACTTCCACGAGCAACAATTGTTTGCTTCGATTAGCTAATACCACAAGGGAGAGAAATATCGTCCATCCATTGCCTTTGATCGTCTTATCTTTATATTGTAACAGAGAGACTACAGTTGTGACTTAAAGACCAAGTTCCTTGCTAGCTTGCCTTCAAGGAAATTTAAGGAAAATTTCTTTACTTTCTCCTTTTGAGTTAAAAAAAAAAAAAGAAAAGAAAAAGGAAAAAAAAAGAAAACAAGAAAGGAAAAAAAAAATAACTTATATAAAATATTAGAAATTCTTATAAAAGTATTGAAATTTAGATTTTAAATTGTTTTTGGTAATTCAGCAACTTTTTAAAAAAATGACTTTTACAAAAATATATAAAATTATTACAAAATATTAATAAATAAAATCTAGAAATTATAAAGAATAAATACAACATTTGGTAACCCCAACTAAAAAAAAAGTTAAAATTATCTGATCATTTTATAAATTTAAAATCTATACTTGATCCAAATTTAAAATTTAAGTTGTAATTATTTAAATTAAATTATAGAGAATTTTAACCAGATTTGATAATTTTTATTTTAAAAAATTAGTTTCAACGTATTATATTCATTTTTTTATTTCTATTTTTTCTCTTATCAATCATTTGGTAAACTAAAAAAGTTAAATTAATCTGGATCAATTTTTATTATTTAAAAGAATTCTATACTTATCAATTTAAATTTAAGTTGTATTAAATTTAACTATACTTATCATTTAAATTTAAGTTGTATTATTTAATTAAATTATAGAGAATTTTACAGATTATAATTTTATTTTAAAAATTAGTTTCACGTATTATTCATGTTTATTTCTATTTTTTCTCTTCCTTCTTTTGGTTCTCTTCTCCCACTCTACAATATCACTCTGCAACTGTTAATTTAATATTCACAAATTAATATGTAATTTCATTGAAAAAATTAATCAAGTTATATATATAAATAACAACTTAAATGAGAAGGGAGTTGCTAGAAATCCTAGCCGTGTCTCTGTGACTCTCTCTTTCTTATATTCTTTTAGATTTTATTTTGTTTAATTTTCTTTTTAATAATTTTCAAATCTATAATCGTTTGGAATAAAATTTAGATTTAGTATCTCAGATCTGTAGATTTTGAGTGTTTTTGCTTCCCTCCCTCTTAGTGGGGTTATTAATTTATTTCCACTCACGGGGTTATTCCTCATTATTGAGGAGTTTTTACGTGGATCTTTTATTTATTAGGTAGTTTGAAAGACAAGATGGATTGTTAGTTGCTTGTGGTTGGAGAATTCAGCTCTTCAAGTTCGGGTAAATTTCTTTTACCAATGGAACTTGATAGTGCGACCTGTTCCTCTATTACAGTTTGGTAAATTAAACTCTTCTACAAACGTCAGTTGTAACAAGTTTTTGAAAAAACAATATTCGGGAAAATATTGTGAAAGGTTTCTTTTGTTGTCTTATTTAAAAAATGGACCAATTTTTAAAATGGACCCAATTTTTAACCAAGGAAGATTAATCTGCTTTGGCCAAGATCAAAAAGAACATCTGCCAAACAGAAGAATTTCCAAATTCAAACAGAAGATTTCAATTTTCTATATTTATATTTCTTATTCCTATCAGAATACTATGATATACTCAACTTATATTTATTATTAATGCACTATTAAGTTTTCAACAAAAAAAAATTAAATGAGAAGAGACTTTTTAACGTCTTGAGAAACCGCCACCTCTCTCTCATTTAAAATTTTCTTCCATTTTCTCCATTCAAACACAAAATCAAGCATGTAGATACGAGGAGGGGCTGATTATTGTCTCTTGTGACAGTCCCTCCTTATATTTTTAGTTTTATTGCTAATTTTTATGTTTTTTGTTAGATAAATTACATATTTATGTTTATTCTGGCATAGATTTATATTCTTTATGTTTTTGCTATTTTTTATGGTTTATCTCGATCTTGTGTGGAGTTTATGATCTCTCCATTTTACTTAGAGCTTTTTTTTTTTTTTTTTTTTTTTTTTTTTTTTTTTTTTTTTTTTTTTTTTTTGCATTTGTTTAGTTTTATTGGACAGATGTGCAATTTATGGAGAATTATTCAACTACATGACGATCTTTGTCTTTTAGAGTCTGGTAGTGCGACTTATTCTTTCATTAGATTTAGTGGTTCAAATCCTTTATGTTCGTCATAAGCAATTAGTTCATAGATAATTAGCTCATGTATACAAGATTCAGGGAGTATATCTAACCAGCCACTTTTAAAGATCTATCAATTTATTTTGAAGTTTACCTTCTAATTTTTATTATGATTTTTTTATTAGATCAGCGAACAATAATTATTTTATTCTATGTCTAATCTTTAGGAGAGGGTCATGTCCTCTTTATATTATTTGTATTGATTTGAAGTTTTTAATGAAATTTTAATATATTATATTAAAAAATTTTAAATGAGAAGGGTATTTTAGGTAAATTTATAGATCTTATATGTAATATTACTTAATGAAATTTTAATATATTATATTAAAAAATTTTAAATGAGAAGGGTATTTTATAGTCTTTATATGTAATATTACTTACAAATACTTTTCAAACTAAATAAGAAAGTATTACCCTACAAAATTGGAAAAAGAAAACTACTATTATTAAATTACTTTTAGCATATCATACCCTACAAAGTTGAAAAGAGAGCATTTTTAGGAAATGACAGAGTCACAGAGCAACTCGACTAGACAACGAAGCGAAGAATTTGTCATGGTTCTGGTTTCAAAATGTAGGATCTATGGTTAGATTAGTTATTGACTTATTGTTGTGTTTAGAACTGTATAATAATTTAATGTTTTTATTCTTTTCAGTAAAAGTAGTAATCGGCTTCCACTAATATTTTGGAGATTCATGTTTTTTTTTTTTTTTTAAGATAAACTCCAGATATAATTAAATCTTTAAAGGCTATATTCAAAGTGGTAGTCGCTAGAGATGAGCGAAAGGTTTGGCCAATTTAATTCGATGAATTGGTGATCAGTTTTCGGCTCGTTAATAAATTTAAATTTATTCAATGATCAGTTATGGTTCAGTTAAAATTGAATCTAACCATGTTAATCAAATTAATTGAGGAATAAAATGAGATTTTTTCAATATTTATTTAGAATTAGGAATGTTAAATTTGTTAAAACGTTAAGGTTAATTCAGTTAAAATCGGTTAATGAGATATTTCAGTAAATATCAATCAGTTAATTCAGTTTCTATTTTCTTTTCTTTTGGCACAGTTAATGAAAAATTAATTCGAATAGTTTAATATAGTTGAATATATCATTCAGCTAAATTCGATTAATTCAATTAATTTCGTTCGATAAATAATTTAAATCAAACTAACCAAACCGACTAAATAATCTCACCCTTATTGGTGGTAGGCAAGTAACTAATTAATGCTGGCAAAACCACTACGAAAGTGGTGACAATAATCTGTATTAAAGATTGACTAAAACTCAAAATATATCAAAACACAGATGTAAGAACATATACTCAGAAATCTATTAAAACAAATATATATGAGATATTTATTCAAAATGTATCTAAGTGACAGATTTGAGAATTGTTCAAGAAAAACACACAAGAACACAAAAACAAAACTAAAAAGATAAAATTAGAGGGAAAGAAATGGAGGTAGAGGAGAGAAAAAAGTAAATGGCCAAAATGTTGAGTTATCGAATATTTGATTTGATTCACTGAAATACATGAAACATGCTTTTTAAAAAACATAATGGAAGTCCACGTTTTTATTTCTTAATTCTTTTGGCAACAGCTTCGAACTCTTCCCTCGTTGGAAATGGAGCAAGTATAACTAACTGAACGTCTGTTATATATTTCTGAGGCAACAATGTTTGTATCTTCCTCATCAACCACATCAAAACACCCAAAGGGGCGAATTTTACTGAGCACGCTTGTTCGACCTCCTTGAAGATATGCACCTTCAATTTTGGACAGTGCTTCCTCTATTCATCAATGAAAGGACATGGGCATAATATCTCTTCTTCAGATGCGGTATACGTACACCACAATTCATCACTTTGCAACAGTGTAAAGGATTGCCATCCATATCTTCAGGATAGAATTCAACTACTACCTTTCTGTATTTACAGAAATGATCATATTTTGTAAGATCCACACATGGATCATATCCAAAGAAAATGGGATATTGCCTTCGAAATTTTCCATTAATGTATCTAGAATTAGAAGTAATGTGTTGGAGATTGAGAGGAGGAGATAAAACAAAGAAAGCAATATATCAGAGTTTAAGGAAGTAAAAACAAAGTTGATTCCAATACAAATCTTCTTTTTTCTTTTCTTCTTCATTTTTTCTACATAAAGAGTTTAAGGAAGTAAAAACAAAGTTGATTCCAATACAAATCTTCTTTTTTCTTTTCTTCTTCATTTTTTCTACATAAATTAATATTCTTATAAAGCTCTCTTTCAAACTCTAGCTTTCAGGTTTTTCTCTCTTACACTTTCATTAACTAGGGTTGCTTTATATAGCAACATGATACTAGCTTTCCACAAAGAAGTCAATACTAACTTCTCATGATTTAATGAAGTTTGTCTCTTTGTTTGTGGCTAAATTTAAGCTCTTCCACAAATTCATTCAACATTCAAATATTCTAGAGCTTTCAAACAAAAAACAATTCATGAGAAATAAGAAAGCTACGCTGAAAGCACTTAGCATCACAGCACCAAGGGAATTACTCAACATAACGAGAGTTCCTTTACCATACCAACCACCAAAATAAGAACAGAAGCAACCAGAACGGTTGATTGTCTTGAGAGATCTCATTTTAGTGCCAATTGGGAGATGCATAAGGCTTCCGCAGCATTTCATATTTAAATCAACAACATTGTCTAAAAACTGAATGGGTGACGACACTTCTATCAAGCTACGATAGTTTTCAATATTAATTCTTTCAAGATTCTTGGCCTGTGATAGGTCTGGGAAAGTAGTCAAGTGCTCAGAATTGCTGAGATTGATGTCTTTCAAGCTCACAAGATTCTACAAATGATAGAAGAAATTAGCACTTACCCAACAACACATTTTTTTCTTGTAAGAAAAAGAAAGGGTAATAGAAAAAAAAGCATGAAGATAGATATTACAGCATACCTGAACTCCTGTCCACAGTTGTTTAACATTGATGTATGCCAGGTTCAGTTCAACAAGTTTCTCTGCTTGAAAATTAGATGGCATAGAGCTTAATCGGTATCCATCCCAGTGGAGATACCTTAACTCATCAGAAAGAAACCCAAGGTCATTATGAAGGTGCAATTTACTGTTATTTCCAACTCTAGCATTGTAAACTTCAAGTAGTCTGAGATTATTCATGTTCACAAAAGCTCTAGAACTCAAGTACACTTCTCCAATTGTTGATGCATCCAAAAATATCCCTTCAACTTTTTCAGTTCCCTAAAGTTCACATCCAGGAATAAATAAAGCATAAGTTATGTAAATATATAAAGGTTCCAACTTACTTCTGTATGTATGCGTTTGTGCATAAAGGACACATAGTACACACCAAACAGGAATATATACACACATAATGCATATGCTCTTACCAGATTTTTGGTCAACACTTGAAGAATATCAGTAGGATTCCAAAGTCTACTGAGTTTGCCCAGCTTGACAATAGATTCCTGCCGAACAATTTCATGAGCCATTTCAAGCAATAAGTCATGTATCCCTAGTTTGTTTTCAAGGACAGTAATGGGCCATCTATCAACTAGAACACTAATTCTAATGTCAGCTGAGAAACCACAACCATCATAGATTCTTTTCACGAAATCAATTTGATGCCCCTTAAAAAAGCAAGCAATATCAAGAAATACACTTTTCTCTCCATCATCTAGCGCATCAAAGCTTATTCTTAACACATGGCAAATTTGAGAATGTCGACTTCTTCCAAGTTTGTCTAGTGCGCTTTCCCAATCTTGTTTGCTTCTATCAAATGGATATGAACCCAAAACTTTAAGTGCCAATGGGTTTCCCTGAGCATAATTAACCACCTTATTTGATAAATCTATTCTTTCGGAGGATAGTTTTTCTTAAAAGCATTCAAACTGAACATTGAAGAGCTTCATCATCATTTAATCCCTCAACTTCATATACATCATCAACTGTATTCTTAAGAACCTGCCTGTCTCTAGATGTCACAATAACTCTGCTTCCCAAACTGTTAAGGATTAGTTGTAAATAGAAAACTGTTAAGATATTGTAAATAGAACTCTATTAGGAGTTGTAAATTAGACTTTATTAGGAGTTAGATTTCTCCTAATAGGTTTATAGTATCTTGTATGTGTATATATATGTGTGCCTATTGATGAATCAAATATAAGAAAATATTTTTCCCCATTAAATTTACATGTTATCAGAGCCTTTGGCTCGTTAGCATTTTTTTTTTCTTGCGGTTTCTGCGTTGACGTTTCCGGCGACCAGCGACAACTCTGTTTCGCGCCTGTCAGTCTAGGTCTCCCACCTAGGCCTTTGCTTTTGTCTCACCGCCACCCAAGGAAGGAAAAGTGACCTCCGATCGGCGTCTCCACCAAATCGGGTGACCTGAAGACCGGCGAGTGTGCCTCACGCGTCGTCAAAAGAATCGGACGTCATCTCACGCGCCGGCGAGTGGAGGTGCGTCCGACAGTTTTCGATGACCAGATTTCGTCCCCTAGGATCGACGCGACGTCCAGATTCTTTTCCAGTGGTTAGGTTTCGATTCTGGCAGCATCTGGTAGGCACTTTCTTTGTTTTTTGCTACTGCTGTTTGCGGCTTTCAGTTCCTTTTGGTGTTCCTACTGTTCTGTTGGGTTCATGCTATTATTTGGTTGCTGTTGGGGTATTTTGTTTTTTATTAATGGAAACTAAACCCACAGATTCTAAAGCTATTATTACTGAATTGATCCCAGCAATGAATAAAATCACAGAACATAAATTGAAAGGAACTAATTATTTAGATTGGAAATTGAAAGGAACTAATTATTTAGATTGGAGTAAGACAAATTAGGAATTTATTTGAGGAGTGTGAAAAGATGATTTCATCTTTAATTGATGATCCACCAATTGGTGACAATAGACAAAGTTGGGCTAAGAGAAGATGCTAAGTTATTTCTACTGATTCGCAAACTCTCTTGACAGTGAAGTGGTTGCGGTTAATTAATCATGAGTTTTTGTTAACGATTAATGGATTACTTATTTTTGTACTCGGGAAAAGAATAATCTGTCTCGTATGTATTGAGGTCTGCCCAAAGGATTTTATTGGGCCGAACAGGCAAGATAAGCCCCCTTACAACTTATTTCATGGAATTTAGAAGATTTACGAGGAACTTAATGTTTTATTGCCTTTTAGGTCCTTGAATGTTAAGGTTCAACAGACGCCAGCGAGAACAGGTTCAACAGACGCAGCGAGAACAAATGGTTGTGATGAGTTTTCTTGCAGGTCTTGCTCCAATTTTTGAAACTGCCAAATCACAAGTTCTTTCAGGCAGTGATATTACCGCTCTTCAGGAGACTTTCGTTAGATTGATACGTATTGAAAGTTCTCATACGCCTTCCCCTTTTGATAATAGTGTCCTTGTGAGTTGTAATCAAGTAGCTAGACAGCCAGGACATAGAGGAAGAGGAGGAAATAACCGTAGTAATGGAACAATCACTCGGGAGGCAAGCATTCTTATCTGCCATTATTGCCATGAACCTGGTCACACTAAATGGTATTGCAAGAAACTGATCAATAAGCCGCCAAGGCGCAAGGGGTTAAATATTGGCAATCACGATTCCGCCAGTTACTTCTTCTGACGGACAATGTAACCAATTTTCTGCTGCGGAGTATGCTGAGCTCTTCTAGATACTGTTTTTCTTAAGTCTACTGATTCCTCAATTGCTGCTTTGCTGCCAAACTCAGGTACTCCCCCTTCATGTCTCCCTTATGTCTACCTCATCAGAGTGGGTCATTAATTTCTGTTGCACCGATCACACATGACAGGTAACCCTAGTCTCTTATCCTCATTAAAAGAACCTAAACAATTTAATCGTCATGTTACTCTAGCTGATGGGTCCACATCTCCTGTCAAGTGCATTGGCACCGCTAATCCCATTCCATCTCTTCCATTGTCTTTTATTTTTTGTTTGCCTCGTTTTTCGTTTAATCTATTATCTGTTAGCAAAATTACTCGTATGCTGAATTATTGTGTCAAATTTTATCCTACATATTGTGTGTTTCAGGATCTTTTGACGAAGTGGATTATTGATAGAGGACGTGAGTCTGGTGGCCTTTATCTTCTGGATGAACACGTTTCATCATCTCTGGCTTGTGCTAGTGCTCTATCTCCTCTTGAGGTTCATTATCGTTTGGGTCATCCTTCATTGTCTACTTTAAAGAAGTTGTGTCAACAGTTTCAGTCTTTATCAATTTCAGAATGTGAATCTTGTCAATTTGCCAAACATCATCGTTTACCTTTAGTTCCTCAAGTCAATAAACGGGTTTCATCCCCTTTTGAGTTAGTTCATTTTGATGTTTGGGGGTCCATGTCTTGTTATTCAATGGCTTTCGTATTTGTAACTTTTTTGTGGATGATTATTCTTCATGTTACTTGGCTTATTTTAATGAAAAACTCGGTCTGAGATATTCTCTTTTTTCTATTCCTTTTTGTGCTGAAATTTATAACTCAATTTAATACCTCTATTCGCATATTGCACAGTGATAATGGCTAAAGAATGCCTATCTATGTTCCTCCAATTCTTATATGTCACAAAATGGTATTTCTCCATCAAAACATCTTGTGTTTGTGTTGATACTCCTTCTCAAAATGGGGTTGCAGAAAGAAAAAATCGACATCTTCTTGAGGTTGTTAGGGCACTTCTATTCCAAATGAAGGTCCTAAACATTTTTGGGCTGATGCTGTCTCTACTGCATGTTTTTTGATTAATCGCATGCCTTCTTCTGTTCTTAATGGTGCAATTCCTTATAATGTCTTGTTTCCTTCTAAACTTCTATTGCCCATTGAACCTCGTATTTTTGGTTGTACTTGTTTTGTTCGTGATGTTCGTCCACAGGTTTCCAAATTAGATCCAAAGTCCCTTCGTTGTGTGTGTTCCTTAGGGTATTCTCGGCATTACAAAAAGGGGTTATCGTTGTTTCTCTCCCGATCTTGACCGTTTTTCTTATTTCTGCATTATGCCACATTTTTTTTAAGAATTACTCCATTTTTTCCTTCTTTCCTTCTTCTATATATAAGAGTGAGGGGGAGGATGATGACCTTTTAGTCTATGCTATCCAGCAAGTTCCTAACTCTCCTGCTCCTGCTCCTATTCCTGACCTTGCTCCTACTCCTACTCTTGTGTCTACTGCTCCTATTCCCGCTCTTCCACCAACATCTGCACACTCTCGTTTTGAACAGGTTTATTCCAGGAGACCAGAAACTCTTGACTCACTTCCTCCACCTGCCGCTTCAACAGAAGATCCGGTTTTGTCCACTCAACCTGAGCTTGTGCCATCTACTCCCCAGTCAGACCTTGACCTTCCCATTGCTCTTCGAAAAGGTAAATGCAAGTGGCAAGTGTACCTACCCTATTTCCTCTTTTGTCAGTTATGATCATCTTTCTTCTTCATCTCATTGTTTTGTAAGTAACCTCGACTCTGTCTCTATTCCTCAAACTGTTGTCCAAGCTTTGTCCCATCCTGGTTGGTGTGCAGCAATGAAAGAGGAGATGACTGCCTTAGATACGAATGGTACTTGGGATCTTTCGCCTCTCCCGACAAGTAAGAAGGCTATTGGTTGTAAGTGGGTTTTCACCATTAAAGTGAATCCTGATGGGACTGTTGCTCGTCTCAAGGCTCGATTAGTTGCAAAGGGCTATTAAAAGGGCTATTCCCAGATTTATGCGCCTTGATTATTCTTTGATACTTTTTCTCCTATCCGCCAAATATGTCTCTGTTCGTTTATTTTATATTCTTTTAGCAGCCACTTTGACTGACCCTTTACATCAAGCTGCGGACATTAAGAATGCCTTTCTTCATGGATCTTCAGGAGGAAGTATTACATGGAGCAACCACCAGGCTTTGCATGGAGCAACCACCAAGCTTTGTTGCTCAGGGGGAGTCGGGAAAAGTGTGTAAACTTCGAAAATCTCTTTATGGCCTAAAACAAAGTCCTCGAGCTTGGTTTCGTAAATTTTGCAATGTGGTACATCAATTTGGCATGCAGAAGAGTACTTCTGATCATTCTGTATTTTTCAGAAGTACTGAGACTGGTTTGATTCTACTTGTGGTTTATGTTGATGACATTGTTACCACAGGGAGTGATTCAACCGGCATTACATCACTCAAGTCATTTCTCCAGACTCGATTCGAGACAAAAGACTTAGGATTGTTGAAGTATTTTTTGGGTATTGAAGTGTCTAGGTGTAAGAGAGGTATA